CCCTTACCTGTCCCCTCTCTCCTCCCTCCATTACTCCTCCGCCACCCTTCTGCCAAGTTACGACCTTCCACCGCTGTTCTGTACTTCGCACTCGGACACCGCTCGTACTTTACTCCGAGCCTCCGTCATAGTCCCCACCTCGGACTTTGACTCCACCTCGGCCTTAGTCCATTGCATTGGTGACCTCATACTACGTAAACACCATTGCCAATATTCCTCAGACTTCCAACCCCGCCTCCGTAACCTCTGTAAGCTCCGCAACCCCCGAGCTTCGCGGACCGCCTTCGGCGCTCTCACCGCCTGTAATGTATTTCTCGCATTTTCCCTTCATCCCTATTTGGACTACTGCTTCTTTCTATTCTAGCCAGTTAGTCATCATCCCCACTTCCCCTCATCCTCCTGCCCCTCTGGGCCTCACCCTCTCTACCTCCTTTCGGACGTATCACAGGTCTTGCCCTATGACCTTCGGTACCGCTCTGCTCCCCCTACCCTTTGTTCCCGTTCGGACGTCTTCGTTCCGATTCGGTCACCCTTTGTTCTCTTTGTGCCTTTGCCCCTTCCATTATATATATCGGCGCTTGTACATACTCGTTTTGGTTCAGTCCGAAATCGACCTGAAATGCCCCCAAGAGACTTCCTGCTCACCTACTGTGAAATTAAGGACCAAATGGACAAACAGCAATGGCACAGCGCTCCGCTTGAGTCGCTGAGGCCAAGGTCCCTCCACGCTAAGTCTCCGATTCCACTCCGGAGTCGTCCGTTTCCGCCCCATTCTAACATCAGGCATAAAAACTTTAGCTGCCTCATTCAACTGCACATGGGCCACACCTTCATCAGCCAATATTACAAACATTTCCTCCCAATTGAGAACCCAAGCTGCAGATGCAGTGAATCCACAGAAACACATGACCACATCCTGATGGAATTGTTGGAATTCAATGGGCATAGGAGCTTAGGCCCTATGGCTATCATGGGTTTAAGGTGTGTGGTTGTAACTTCCTTTTTTCCTTTATTCTTCTTCGCTTTGACATCCCACTTTGACTCGGGTCTGACTACTCTTTGGCCTGGTGCACTACATGCTGGTGCCCTATCTCTTTCTATAAAACTTTTGCCTTTTCACATTATCATCCCCCTCAGTTCACTTTAACATGAAACTGAGGTGAGATCAATACTTTGACTAGTTATTATGATTCATACTAATAACTCATGTATGATAGTTATTTTGTGATTAGGTATTATAACATTTACAGTTCACTTTAACATGAAGCTGAGTTATTTCACAATTAGCATACATATTCTAAGAGGAATGCCTGCTATATGCCATGCACCGAGACCTCCTTTGTGACAGACCTAAACCTGTTGATGAGCAACACTTGATCTCAGAGCTGGACTATAAGCGTGAAGCTCAGTCTCAGCTAATATGCGTGAAGAACTAGTTGTATTACCTATAAGCGTGAAGCTAGAGGTAATGTACATAGTGTAAGTTACAAGAGTAAATGAAACAGTAATAAAGGACTGTTGTAACTAACCTCAGTCTCAGCTAATATGCGTGAAGAACTGAGGGAAAAGGAAATGAATTCAAATGAATGAATATATCCGTGGCCTGGCACAGGTTAGTCCAAAATAATATAAAAGAGGTGTTGTGACTAAGTAGTCATGCTACCGCGGGAATGTGGCTGTCTGGGCGAGTTCCTCACTCGGATGTGGGAATGTGGCTGTACAAAAACTCGTCCAGCCTCCCATAGCACACGGTTCCTCCAACAAAACCTAGCCAACCTTCTCAGAATGGAAGAGGGTAGCATGAGAGTAGTGAGCTTCCTCAATGTGAGTGGAGCATATGAAAAGAAAACCTCCCTGCCTTGAAAGGCAGAATCCCCCTACCTTTACAATAACTGGCAGCATAACATCCAATCACATATAAGTGGAAACTCCCCAGAGGAAATGGTTAGGGAACTACTCAGTCATAGGACGAGACCCCCCAGATCAAACACAACCCTTATATCTACTTTATTTTCATGTATTTACATAGGCAGGATCCCAGCCTCTACTAAAGTAGAGGCTGGGACCCGACTGACCCTACTGAATAGAGGTCAGAATGTGGCCAGATATGGAAATGCCGCATAAGGGAATACTGAATAGTGTCTGTGATGTGATTCAAATATTTTGTATTGTACAGGTAATTATGATGACCAATGCCGGAGTCCAGTTTGCAGAGGGTCATGCAACAAGTCATTTTGTTACAGGAATGGGTTCTGGGGAACCCAACCTGAACCGTTCGGCTCACTAATGGAGGTGGCTGCATAGCCAGAGGAGGGAGAGCGGAATGGGATGAGTATTTGGATGTACAACCTGCAGGTTGGCCAACGGTAACTTGGCGCTCCTGGGAGCATACCGGTAGCGGGTGTGCTGGGAGTGGTTGGCTAGCGGTGACTTGGCACTCAATGGAGCGTACCGGTAGCGTGGGATACTGGGACTCCCAAAGGGAGTCGCCCAGTGGGTGGCTATCGGTGACTTGGCGCTCATGGGAGCGTACCGGTAGCGGGAGTTGTTGGGGAAAGTGGGCTGGTGGACCAGTGCACGGAAGTGAGTGACCGTGGGAAGTGGGGCCCATGGGTGTGTGGCCAGGCATCCTGGAGCTGCCTGGACCATATCCCTCTCCTAAGGAGGTGGGATAGGCTACAGTTCCTGATAGGGAACTTCTGGTTGGAGGGGAGTGACTGCTCAACCACCCGGTGGACTGGTGGGAGCGGGTAGCAGGAGGTTGGGCATGGGAATGCCCTCCTCATTGCGGTTTTGTCATGGAGAGGATGAATAGGGAGGTGGACATGGTTCTGAGGTTACAGGTCGAGTTTACAGTGGTGGCACAATGGTGAGGATGTTACAATTGCGGTACAAGGTTTGTGGGTTATGTATTCGATAATGAAAGACATTTTTCGGCATCTGCCTTACACATCATATGACTTCTAACTATCTAATATAAAAGTCACAATGGTCAAGGGAAGTCCCTTGAAACTCAACAAATTCCCCAGCCAGCACCAAAACCCAGTGGGAAAGCTTGGCATGGGGTTTGACAGCGAAATAAAGGTGCAGGGACCAAAGGTTTGATTGTTCATAGTCATGGACCATAAGATTCTAGGTCCATTCCTATAACACATTTAGTGTTAACCCATGTGGTTGTTGCAACCCTGGGAGCTTGAGGAAGCACAGTCAAGGTCGTGGAGTCAATAGCTGGGCATGCAGAAAAATTAATCATTTAAATATTAGTTGTAACTGTAATTGTTGTTGGTGCGCTGTAGTGTAGATGTTATAGTGTGAGTTGAGGCTGTGCAGTCTTTTTGGCTGCATGTGTTCAATTCTCGCTTGTTGCAACTTTTTTTTAGCATTCTCCCATGCAATAATCGCATGCCCAGCATTGAGGAAGCGCAGAGTCAAAGCTGCAGAGTCGATACCTGAGCACAGAGAATGCCAGAAAAAGGTGGCAACAAGTGGGAATCAAACACATGCAGCCAAAAAGACTGCATAGCCTCAACTCACGCTATAACATCTACACTACAGCACACCAACAACAATCACAGTTACAACTAATATTTAAACCATTAATTTTTCAGCTATTGACTCCACGACCTTGACTGTGCTTCCTCAAGCTCCCAGGGTTGGGTTGGGTGCAACGACCACATGGGTTAACACTAAATGACTTGTTGCGCGACCCTCTGCAAACTGGACTCCAGCATTGGTCATCATAATTACATGTACAATGCAAAATATTTGAATCACATCACAGACGCTATTCAGTATTCCCTTATGCGGCATTTCCATATCTGGCCACATTCTGACCTCTATTCAGTAGGGTCAGTCGGGTCCCAGACTAGTATTTACAGCTGATTCCAAAAAAATCGGCCATTTTGATTTCATCGAAAGAGATCTAGGAGGGTCCTTCTTTCCTAAAAAAGTTGGCCAGATCATGCCCCACAAAGGGGTTTCCTATAGATCCGCTTAGTGCCAGGGTCTTTGGTCTCACTCCCACTCTCGTGCACAACACTACGGCAAGCTCAGGTTTCCGAACTCACCCACATCCATTCACAATATCCTCAAACTCAAGCCCTCCTCCACACATCCGCACACTGGATCTTCCAGTGATGCATATCAATTCAGACTCAGACTCAGGGTTTGACCAAAGATTGTGCGAAGTGAGTCAGGAAGAAAAGCTTGATGATGAGCTTGATTGGGACTTGTTTTGAGGAGTTCTCGTATATATGAGTCCTTCCATGTTCTGAGCATAACTTAGCCATCATGTGCGATGAACAAAAGGTCTGGTTGATATACAAAATTCGGACTTATTTTTGAGGGTATGAAGACTAGAAGAATGTCTTTTGCAGCGCACTCAAGATGTTTCCCCAAGTGGATGGAAACACACGGTGTTTTATACAGGAAGTTCCACGGTACCATTGGGTTTGCCGCCTTGCGCTCAAAAGTCGCCGTTTCTGGCAGAGAATGAGTGCCCCTAGATCTCTTCCGATCAAATCAAAACGGCCGATTTTTTTGGAATCGGCTGTATTTCGAGACCCCTGCCCTTGGCGCTCTCACGAGCAGCCTGTAGTCTGCAGGATAAATATCCAGAACTACACACACACACGGGCAATGCCGGCTGGCCCATGAGACGTAATAATAGAGACCGTGTGTCGCATCAAATCTACTAATCCAAAACCGGGTTAGCACGTCCAACGACCAAATAAAAGATGCACGCGGCCGTCAACGAAGCGGCACAACGCAAAGATACAGATACGCGCCGGTTAGCATGATAATTGGTTAGTGGTAACAGGCCGTTCCGTTCCGTTCCGACCTGGACCGTGAAACGAAATGGGGGTTTGGTTCGGTTCTTCGACATTATCGCCAAAATGCGGAACCAGTTTTCTCAAGTGACCGAACCCAATCGTGGCACCCCTAGCCCGGACAGCAGACCTCGATGACCAAATACACCGTATTTTTCCGAATCTCGTGTTGAGCCCAGGTCGCAGGTTCTCCCATGGATAATCGATCCATTGATGAGTCGGACAAATATGGATGTACACATGCGTGGAAAACAATTGATATGTGCAAAGGACGAAGAATTTGGGCATGTACGCCCTACCGATATATCAAGGTCGTTGCGGGGACCGCTGATGTTCTTCAAGGCTCCCAGACATGCTACTTTTCTTTTATTCTCTTGCCACACTCTGTATCGTGTCAGCGCTTGCATGGACAGCACTTCGGAATCACATTATCAACACGACGACGGTTATCCCTCAGCTCAGGCTTCTCCATCCCAAACGCAATAGGAAGAAGGTTCAGGGGACAGCAGTGGTGGCTGGAGGAAGGTAGGTCCCCTTTGAGATGTCTATCCTCGTCTCATACACTTATCCTCTCCCAGCATTGCAGGATATGCTACTGCTCGCGTTCTGTCTGATCATTTTGCACGTGTTGTAATCATTGAGCCGGACTACCGAATCAAGAGAACTGCGACGCGCGTCGCTCAGCGTGGTCACCCTCATTTCCCAATGCCGATGATGATTCTCATCTGCCGAGCCCTTTATTCAGATTTTGATGAAGTCGCTGCAAAGATGGGCTGTAAAGTTCACTCACCCTTCCGAAGGTGGATAGTTGGCACGTTTTGGTTTTGTAACTGGAGGACCACAACAGCAAACCCTTCACTCGAGTATCAAAGGGTCGAGTGAGTAATCAAGTAGATTATCTAGGGTGTCTCGATCTATCTCCTTTGATATTAGGCTGGAAAAGACCCTCCGCAAACTTGCTGCTTCTTATGCGGGGGATTCTTTGGAAGTTATCCAAGGAACCGTTACCCGCTTGCACGCTTCTCCAAGGCCACTTTCCGCTTCCATCTCTGCCGTGTCCTACAAAGCTTCGATGAAATCATCTGAGACCGTCACAATACCCTGCGTATTTTTCGCGGATTGCAGTGGAGCAAGTGCAATAGCATCGAAATTGCTTCCCGAGGCGATTGTCAATTACTCAGAGGCTGGTTCCACAGAAGCTGCAATGGGGCTGCAGTGGGGCCCATATACTCGCCATTCATATGTTCCAAAAGTCATGGCCAGATGCTTTTATGTTCCTGTGAAGGACGAGAAGTTGAAACAACAAATTGCCGACTTATTACCACGGAATGACCCCAACTGGGGAAACTGGAATGAACTGAGGACATTGCACTTCCAAAGCCCTGGTATTGATATGGATGGCAGTGGAGGAGGTCCAAAAGAAGGGATCCTTATTCAGAAGGTTCTGGATAATGAATGTATGTCCGTGTTTCTACATTTGTACTCGACCCTGATGTGCACTCATTTCAGTGCTTATCAGTTACTCCAGTCTGGGTGATGTGACAATGCCTATGAATCTTGCTCAACTCAATCTGGTTGTTCGTGATGTGCATGAGGAATTATTCAAGCTCAATCCGTCACTGAAGGACATTTCACTTTGGGTGTATGCCCTATTTGACCTTCTCCAGGAGAGTCAAGTAGATGATGAGATCCAAATCCTCTCTGCCAGTGCTAAAATGGTGCGTATTTGGCAGTCTGATGTTTTGCCAACATCCTTAGTTTTTTATAGTATTCCTCATGGTACATCGACTACTTATCAGCACCCACACCCAACAATTTTGTTGCTATCGGAGATTCTGCTATGTGTATGATCCCCCCCTTCCATGGCAGCCACATAACTATGTACTGATGCACTTCCCAGGCGTTAATCCCATCTTCTCCCAAGGGATGATGAAGGCACTGCAGAATGCAGTGATGCTGAACACAACATTACACAAGCACATCACTGGATTTACCACTGATACCGATGCCGCCTTATTACCGATTTCACGTTCCTATTTTGCACTAGCCAATCAAGTCTGCCTACACATGTACATCTTTAACCGCATGTTTGATTATGGCTACCCAACTACAAAACCCCAAGAAGGGGAAACTTTGGAATATGGTGCTAGGTTCAGGGTATATTGGAAGTATCTGAATAGAGCCAGTCAGAAGAGTACAATGGTGGCAAATGTCCTTGAGGAAGCACTTGGGGGACTTAGGCCAGGTCTAGATTTGTTTAGTCCTCTAGTGGTGGGAAGGGTTTTGTGGGAATGGTTTCAAGGCTGAATGTCAGGGCACCAAGCTGCTTGGATTGAGGATTCTGGAGGTGTTGATGGAGTTATCACTCAGGGAATGAGGGTCTGCTTCAATGGGAGTGGGGGTGTGGTCTGTGGTGAGGACTCCAGCTGAGCAGCAAGGGGGAAGTATTACATCATGTATATTATGCACAACATACTTGAGCACCAAGGGGAAGTGGAAGAAAAAACTGCTTTCCTCAGTTGCTACTCAGAGAATGATAAGGTTGGCATACCTGGCCATGTGGGGCTGCTTGTCAGGGCATACACCCTGACCTAGCCTGCACCCACACTCACACCCACACCAGCACCTGCACCCACACCAGGCCGTTGCACCTCCTGCATGTGCCCTGTGCTGGATGCTCCATGTGGCCGGATGCCCCGGGCCCCGGGTCTCAGGCCTCACATGACTTCCAGATATTTCTGGAAGTTTTCATTATATTGTGGCCACTGTGGGAAGGTGAGAAGTTAGCTTCCTTCTCACCTTCTTACCCACAGCAGTCTGCCCTGGACAGGGCTGTTTCCACATAGGGTCATGGGACATAAGGGGGGGGTCATGGGGACCTGCGAGTCATCCCCTGACACTGCTTTACAGAAAGAGATACAGTACATTGTGCTAGTCCAGGGGTGTGATCAAAATAGGTCAGGTGCCCTATAGTGTCATCAGTGGTGAGTATGCAGCCCAGGCTTGGCTGTACTCTGACATCACCCCCCCTTAGGTGTCAGGGCACGTACCCTGACCTGGCCCACACCCACACCCACACCTGCACCTGGCTGCTGCACCTCCTGTGTGTGCCCTGCACTGGATGCTCCATGTGCCAGATGCCCTGGGCCCCAGGCCCCAGGCCTTGGGCCTCATGTGACTTCTGGATATTCCTGGAAGTTTTCATCTATATTGTGGCCACTGTGGGAAGATGAGAACTTAGCTTCCTTCTCATCTTCTTACCCACAGCAGGTTGTGCCCTGGATAGGGCTGTACACATAGTGGGCTGTGGGCCATAGGGGAGGGTCACAGGGACCTGGGAGTTGTCCCCTGACATTAGGCCACTACATCTCAGAGTGGTTGGGCTTGCCTGTGGGGTGGGGCAGAGGGGTGCAGCTAGTGGAATTCTGTGATGAGGTCTGGAGCATTCTGGATATCATTATCAAGTATCCAGCTGTTCTTGGAACTTGGGTAACTGTTACAGAAATGGGTTCCAGGGAACCCATCCTGAACCATCCTACTCACAGGTGGAGGTGGCTGCACAATGGTCAGAGGGAGAGCAGATAGGCATCCAAGGGAGTAGCCCAGAGTTTTGCTAGTGGTAACTTGGCACTCTGAGGAGCATACCAGTAGCAAGTGCGATGGGGGAGCCACCTATTGGTTTGTGTGAGGTCTCAGTGGGATTGCTCAGCACACAGAGCTGTAGGTGATATGATGGTGTGTATATTATGGTGTGTGTAAGTGTTAGAGACCTGAGCGAGATGAAGGAGTTGTCTCCGTGGCGGAGAGCTTCAGCCTCAGCGACTCAGGCCAGGAGCGCTGTGCCAAGTTACACGTCCATGCCCTAATTTACTTACTGGCAACAAGAACTAAAAGGGGGATCAACTCTAGTTGATTTTATCACTGGAGTGTAACCTATGTACAAGTTAAGTATATATAGTTACAGTGAGGGCGGGCCTGTGAATAGCGGGACCGAGTGGAGTGGAGCTAACAGGGATAGATGTTAGCCGATTGAATATTACCGATGAGTCGGGTTGCGGGTTTAACAGAATGACAGGTTATGACCCACAAGCGGAAAGGAGGGATAGGCCTGAAGGTAGACTTGCAGGGCAAGCAAGTGAATTGCCCAGCAGAGGCAGGGATGCACTAGCGGATGTTGTTGTGGGGACAACTCCGTGTACCACAAAAAGTCGGATTCTGCGGAATTTGGTCACTAACACGCAGTACATATCCGCTGACGCTCCCGATACTCATTCTATCACTATCCAACACTCCATACACTCACTCCATATTTTTCCATATTTTCCCCATCATTCCCGACAGCCCCAAGCCAAATTCCCACGCCCAACCATGCCGCCAATTTCACCCCCTCTCTAGATCTCCATAACCACACATACAACACAGCCGTTTTCCTACCCGGTAGTGATGCTCTACCATCCTTCTTCACCCCCGGAGCATTTCCCAGAATGGCAATCCCATACCCGGATGGTTCAGCACGGAGTATAGTCTCACATGGTCTTGACAGCACCTGTCAATGGCCACATCTCAAGAAGTACTGCACCAATTGGGATGAATGAGGGCTCGTTGGAAAGCTGGAGACGAGGAGGTTGCTGACGGGAGGATAGGCGGGCGCTGTGGCGAACTGTTGCGGAGTTAATTTTCACAATTCCCATTTTGGACCCATTATCATATATTCCCCATTCATTCGTATTTCTCTTATTGTTTCTTTGTTCCCAATTGGATATTCATCATTTACGGTTGCCTAACGGCCCGTTTACATTTCCCCATGCCATTCATTCCATTTCAAACATATATAAACTAGATAACAGCTTGTACATAACAAGTTAGTATTGAATAGACCCGTGAAGGGACAAGCAAAATTACATCCAAGTGGCAAAGATGCCATCCACGACCCTAACGCCCCCTCTGAGTTAGTTACCAACGTCTAAGACCCCTCTTATCATAATCCTCAGCCTTGACGTCCAAGAGAGATGTAGGTGAGTGTTTGTTTGAGGTTTTTGCAGACCCAGTAGCACCCATGGACCAAAACCCGGCCCAACGAACCACACCCGCACACACTACCACCCTCCCCCTTCTCTCTGTCTCGACTCTAGGCAATAGACCCGTTACAACGTTGGAGCTGTCCAGAGAGCTTTGGGGCTCCGTACTTAGGGAGGCATAGGTAATATATTGAATTGGAGAGGTGGTGACCATCAGGGGGGTCAGAGGTCATTGTGGAAACCAGAGGCTCCAAGGTTAGTGGCAGAGGAGCGGAGGTAATCTGGAAGGATCGGAGGTAGTGGAAGACGATGGCCATGGATGGATATGACAGTAAGCGGTTAACCCGGAAGTTACTGCTTACCCATGTGACTATATGTACCTTGTAATTACATATGGCTTGGGGTTCGGGGGTATTGCCCTGACATTCTCCCCCCTTGCGTTGCATTTTCAATGCATACATGGTTAATGATGAAGAGAATAAAAAGAAAAAAAAAAGAAGTTTGAAAATATCAATGAGTGTTTTATTATCGCCACTTTAAAGTGGACAATTTGAACATGTCGGTGAGAGAAATTGAGGGAATGAATGGGTGTGGGGCCATCACTTTGAAGTGAACGGCGGTACATGGGTATCGCGAAGGGGAAAAGTGATCAAGAGAAGAAGTTTTTTTTCGAAAATAAATTTTGACCCAAGGACTATATGTCCTTGGTATTCCTCCTCACTTGTTCCATGAGGATTCATGTGTAGATGGTGTTTACAAACGAGTGGTGGTGTCAGGGCACACCTGCCTGACCCCGCACCGCACCCTGCACCGTACTGCCCTACTCCGCTCCCCCTGCTATCACTCCCTGTCCCTCCTTTCCCCTTTTCCCCTTTTCTCTCTATTTCTATTCTATGGTCGATTTCCCTTTTCTCCATGTACCACTACATACCTAACCCCGCTTCGCTGATCACTGCACGCGCCGCACACACTCCAGCCTACTGAGCGGCCACCTCTGGGATCTCCCATGGAGACACCCAGGGAGGTGCAGCTGTGTGTGGAGATGACGTGGCTTCCTCCATGTGACCCTAACCGCATGTATATAATAGCGCCTGGGGTGGGAACAGAAGAAGCAGCCTTCTTCTCAACTTCCCACTTCAGACTAAGTGGTTGGGGATGCTCACCCCACAACAGGATCGCCGCTATGCACAGCCGACATCTGTCCCACCGAGTCCCTCGTGCCGGGACTTCACCGCTTTCGGGGCTGTCCCTGACAGGTGGTGGATGTGGGTTGGACGGAGTAGAAATTTCCACAATTGTTACTTGCAGTTGTTAGAGACCGGATGCGAGACAAAGGAGGTGTCTCCACAGCGGAGGGCTTCAGCCTCAGCGACTGTCATATCCATACATACCTGATCCCGATCCGACTCCCGGACCCCCATCTTCACCTCCGGAGTCCTACCCTACCACCATCCGTTCCGATATTCACCTTAGGACCTGACACCACTCCTCCTCTCACCCCTCATGCCACCTCCACCCTTCTGTCCTTCTCCTACCTTATCTCCATCTGCTCCGATACTCACCTCAGACCTGACACCACTCCTCTTGACACCCTCCTCCTCTTACTCCTCCCCTTACTCCTCATGACACCTCCACCCTTCCACCACTCTCCTACCCTACTTCCGTCCACTCCGATACTCACCTTTGGACCTGACACCTTTCCTCTCCAACACTCCTCTCTCCACTCCTCTCTCCACTCCTCTCTCCTCTCTCCTCCCTCAGACCCTCTTCCACCAAACCTCCGGCAAGTTATGACCTTCTGCTGCTGTCCTATACCCCATACTTGGACACCGCTTGTACCTTCACTCCGAGATCCCATCATAGTTCCGACCTTGGACTTTGACTCCACCTCGGCTTAAGTCCATTGCATTGGTGACCTCATACTATGTAAACACCATTGCCAACATTCCTCGGACTTTCAACCCCGCCTCCATAACCTCCATAAGCTCCGCAACCTCTGAGCTCCACGGATCATACTCGGCACTTTCGCCGCTTGTAATGTATCTTTTGTGCTTTCCCCTGCTGCTTCTTCCCATTATAGCCAGTTAGTCATCATCCCCACTTCACCTCATGCTCCTGCCCCTCTGGGCTTCGCCCTCCCTATCTCCTTTTGGATGTACCACAGGTTCTGACCTATGACCTTCGGTACTGCTCCGCTTCTGTCATCCCTTTGTTCCTGTTCAGATGCCTTCATTCCAATTCGGACCCCCTTTGTTTCCCTTGTGCTTTTGTCTCCCTATTATATACAGGTGCTTGTACATACTCGTTTTGGACCTTCAGTCTAAAATCGACCTGAAATGCCCCCTAGAGACTTCCTGCTCAATGCCTATGAAATTAAGGACCAAATGGACAAACAGCAATGGCACAGCGCTCCGCATGAGTCGCTGAGGCCAAGGTCCCTCCTTGCTAAGTCTCCGGTTCCCCTCCAGAATTGTCCACCCTTGCCCAGTTCTAACAGCGA